CTTAAAACAAATAAAAAATAGAATCCTGACATCTTATCGTCACACTTAAAATAAGTAAAAAATAGGATCCTAACATCTTATCCTCACACTTAAAACAAATAAAAAATAGAATCCTGACATCTTATCGTCACACTTAAAATAAGTAAAAATAGGATCCTGACATCTTATCGTCACACTTAAAATAAGTAAAAAATAGGATCCTGACATCTTATTGTCACACTTAGAATAAGTAAAAAATAGGATCCTAACATCTTATCATCACACTTAAAACAAGTGAAAAAATAGAACCCTGACATTTTATCATTACATTTAAAATAAAAAAAATAGAATTTTGACCTCTTATCGTCCCATGTAATAAAAGTGGAAATAGGATTCTGACATCTTATCGTCACATTTGAAATAAGTGAAAAAAACAGGATTCTTATATCTTATTTTCACACTTAAAATAAGTGAGAAAATGTTAATAGTTCGATAAAAGCAATAACAAATGAAGGTTTTAGTATAAACACTAAATATTTATTATTTACATTCGAAACAATAGTATTGAAATAAAGCGGTCATGGCGCTGTTATTTTTAAACACAGACATCTTAGTAAATTGAAAATAATCGGTGTTTCAAAATAAACTATTTGAAACAGGTTGACACAAAATGCTAGTTTATTTACGTTAGTCTCCTAATTTATACTCGATATAAACTCCCCATTTTGATTCATATCGATAATCTTCTGACTAACAAAAACATTTGAACATGAGAATGTCTTCTCAAGTCTCTCTCTGTTCAGTCATGTGAATATAAACTCATGGAAAGTCGGATGATGTTATCTTAAAATATCAATATACAAGGTCACCTAACACTAACGTTTGAGCACTTTCAGCTGCTTTATTGTGACGGTCAATCCCACTATCCGATTAAGTATGACAGAAATGAATAAAAACCCTATAATCCGAGCGCTTTCGAAAGGTGGACCTTTCTTCTTCAGGGTCAAAGTATATTTGCGTAAGCGGCGAGTGTAACTGACAGATATTGTTCTCTCTGGTCAGTAATTCTAAATTAGGGGCAGCTATTCCTGAACCATGAGGTCATCAGCCTTAACAGTTTAGTACATGTGTCGTTTAAAGTGCCATTCAGGTTGAAAATGCCAAATTCCAATGAAATCTCTTGTAACTCGAAAAGAATCATCGTATATTCCAATGAAGAGCTTTCCGTTTACATGAGATTATTTTCTCATCGTTGCCACACTTTACAATTTCACTAGTCAGCGATTCTTAACCTTTAATAGCTGAGAGATTGTAAATTACTGGTGTGTAATAATGACATAAGTGGAAAACTTAAGTTTTTCCTTATAAACCTTTTTAAATGACAAAGATACTGTTGATAGATGGTAGTATATTTATCCTGTGATTCATGGAAATTAAGATAACGCGAGTTGAGAAACATTGTAAAAGATAGATAGCATTATTTTGTTAACCTCTGGTTTTTATGTAAAAGATAGATAGCATTATTTTGTTAACCTCTGGTTTTTATGTAAAACATAAATTGCATTATTTTGTTAACCTCTGGTTTTTAGCAACTATTTGTACATAATAAGAATTAGTATATAGTAGTGTTCTTTTTTTTTTAATTTTCTCAAACTTGGGAATTTTTAAGATTGTCTAACGACAAAGTTCCATTAGGCTTAACACACTTGTTGTATAAGGTAAAAATATTTTCTTCTTCTTTTAACCATAACTCCATGTAGTTCTTGGGTCTGCCGCTTGGGCGTTTTGTACTAGCTAATACTTTTTACACGCTGGTGGCAGATTCCGACAACAACCTTAAAGGGTGAGCATGTTCGGTAACGAGGAATTCGAACTCGCGACCCGCAAATTGCAAGTCGTTCACTCTAACCACCAGCCCATGCCCGACATAAAGTTAAACTCTCACTCTTATTTTAGCTTCTTGGATTGTCAACAACTGTTTACAGTTCTGTCGGGTTTTAATTTACTGTTGCATGAAACGGAAACATCAAGTTATTCTGATTAGAAGAAATTGTATCAAAGATAATTTTTAAGCCTTTATTTCTAAAATGCACAGGTCAATTTTTGGCATTTGACGACTTCCTATTACCCTGTTTTCAACATTCTATGATCTCAGGAATCATGACTTCCAGTTAGCAAGTTTCCACTCAACTTTATAACTGCAAACCCTAGGAAATATTTACAAAAGTATAAAACGAATCTTCTGTTTTTACCTGATTTACATTCATCTCATATTCTTTATATCTAAAAGTTTTAATTAGGGAAAGACAAATTATTATCAAATATTTAATTGCGTTCTTTACATAAAAGATGTTGACACTTATAGCTAATTGCTCTGGAAATTGAATTATAACCTTCTTAATAATAATTTGATATTTTCAGCTGTTGCATTTGTACGAATATCTTTTGTTTACAAACATGTAAAAGTGTTTAAGACTAGATTTACTACATCTCCAGGTTCTTCCATTCTTACTACTCTTGACAGTTAATTGCCAGGAAACTTTCTTCACCTCTGAGTCTATTGCCAGCTAAGTCTCACGAGATCTTAATAAGATATTACTACTGTCTGAAGAGCGAAAAGTTATTCACACTACTTCTGGAGAAGATGTCAGGTTTTATTATAGCTGTAATAATCTCATTTAGGATTGTAAATGTATCAAGTAAATTCTGCTAAATGTTCAGACCCTATATAAGAAAACAACTGAGGTTAAATAAGAAGAAAACTTTATTCTGGTGATGAAAATAGACCCAATAAGTCTATATATATATATATTTTAGCGGTGGCCTTTATTGATCGTAAAGTAAAGCATATTAAATATGTTATTAATAAAGATAAATTATCATGTAACTTGAAAATAAATATTTTTGACACCTGAATAACTGGTATTTTTAATTGGAATTGAATAAATCAAATTTAAAACGTTTAAAACTTACACAATAATATGTAAGGTGTTTAAGAGAAAATAGCTGAAAAGCGATTTAATATGTACGATACATGAGTTGCTCTTATTTCAGTTTAAGTTATTCACTTAAAATAGATGAACTCGTGGGAAATTCTGTTTAATTGGAATATTCGCTCATGTTGCAAATATCACGGAAACTAATGTATTAACCGTGAAACCTTTCTTTTTCTCTAATATTTTTGAAATGTTTATTTAGAAATGTAACTAGTGTATCTTTTTGATGAAACTCATTTTTCTGTACAGTTGTTACTTTGAGAAAAATAAAGATACATGTTGATGATTAATTAATATTTTCTGTATAAAAGAGAACTAAATACAGAACCATAAATAATACATATATATATGTGTGTGTGTTCTATGTATTGTTATTCTATGAAGTTGTACACTTTCTTTGGCTTCATAAAACAATCTATATTATCTCATAATGAGTATAACATTTCATGATGAAGTCTGCCCATACCTTTATTGCGTCCAAACCACATACATAAAATGCTTAATTTTCTTTTTCTAGCTATTAAAAAGCAAGAAACACGTTCAGACATAGAGGCCAGTTAGGGAAACTTGAACATTGGGTTAAAGCGGATAGGTTTTTGAACGGTTGTAGCATCTATACTGCTTAGCTTAAAGTGAAAATAATTGAGTTTTTTTTCTAATTTTATGAGCTTTTTTTTTAGAAACCAAATTCTATTTCAGACCCATATTTAATCAAATTCGCAATTAAATAAAAATCCAATGGACTTCAATCATT